AGGAGGACGACGACGACGCCGTCGCCGACGGACGTGCGCCGATAACATGATAACATGCAGATAATCGCTAGTGCAATGAGCAGTCATCACGATATTGACTCGTTACCAGCGGTGCGTGCAATAATTTAAAAGTTAAATCGTAAAAACTGAAAGTTTTCTTTTTAATTTATTTACATAGAGTTATATAGTGTGGATGCGCCGGGAATTTTTGCAAAAACATGAATTTTTGTTATTTTTGCATAGACTCTTTATAGTCATTTTAATATTTACTTATTAACACCAACGCGTAAATTATTTGAAAATTTAAAACATAAAAATGAAAAGTTTTTGTGAAAAATTATTTACACGTATTTATATTGTGTGAAGGCGCCGGGAATTTTGTCAAAAACATGATTTTTAAATAGTATTTCGTGCCCCTTTTACTCTTATCTCTATATTGACCTGTTATCAGTCATCCATACATTTTTTTCAAACTAAAAACTCAAAAAACTTAAAAAAATTCGAAAAAATTATTTACACGTATTGATATACTGTGGATGCGCCTGGCATTTTCACAAAAAACACAATTTTTCAACATTTAAACTTTCAACCATTACCAAAAGCTATTATCATGCTCTTATCACCCTTCCGATACTTTTGATAATTGGGTGCACTATTATTGAGTTTGCGAACCGCGCATAATGTTGTACGTGCCACAATTAGAGATTAATAATTTGCGCAAATATTTGCGCCGTGCGCCGGAACGTTAATTAACATTGCGAGCCTGTGCGACCTCCACATATGATTTGTGTATTAATGTGATGAATGTGTTGCGCTGCAATGCGATGTATGAAACGCGAAATGCTGAATTACTGAATTGCGAGCTGTGTAATGTGCAATGTGTAATTACGGACGTGCAAAGTGCTATGCGGGCGATGTGGGATGCGTGAAGGAAAGTCATGCGCATGTAGTGATTTTAAATTATCTAAATAATTATTGAGTTGTTGTTGATTTTTCGGTGAATGAATGAAATAAAATGAAATAACATAAAATAAAATAAAGTTAATGATAGGTAAATATTGGATTGTTTTTTTAGTTTGTTTTAGTTTTTAATTGATTAGTCAGAGGGCAATCGATTAATGGAAAATATTATTTTAGTAAAGGACCTTTAATTAAATTCGTTATATGTTTTAATTGAGATTTTATTTATTGGGATGATAGTTTTTTGATAAATTAGGAAATAAATTGAATTTTTGAAAAAATGTTTTTGTAAATTACTTGAAAAGTAGAAATAATTTTTAAATAATTTTGATGAAAACATGTTATATTTTTAATATTTTACTTAATTTTATCATTAATTTATAAAAAATAATTTTTTTTCATAAAAAATTTGAATTTTTTAAATTTAACATATGATTTAATACTGTGGAGGCGCCGGGCATACACACAATTTACATCCATATCACTTCTATAAAACGTCAAACAATAATTTTTCATTTTTTCTTTTTCTTCCTTGATATCTAAAATTATAATAAATTAATTGCGAATGTTATGGTTTTGTCAGCTGTACAAACAAACGATTAAGCGCGAGTCACACGTGAGTCGCATCGCATCGCACTTGAAGATTAGGGCGGAAAGGAAAACAAAACGCGCCGAAACCAAACAACACATAATCGTCTGTCGGCTTCCGATTACTCGCTGCTGCTGTCGGAACCGCCACCCCTTCACACATTTCACCCTTGAACGTTTCACATACGAGTGCCAACCTATATAAACAATTATTACACCACAAAAAATATTATTCCACAATAAAATTTGAATTACTTAAATTTAAAACAAAAATAATTAAAAATGGTGGAGGCGCCATTAATTTTTCTACGCATAGTAATAATAATAATAATAATCAACCTTTGCGTGTGAGTTTTTTTATTTTTTCTTCCTCGGCTGCTTTTTTCATATTTTTTATTGTTTATTGTTGTGGCAGGAGTGCGTTTACACTGCGTCACGCATATATTACAACAAAAAAGCTCATATGCATTTTGTTACCGTATTTTTTTCATTTTTTTTACTACTGGTATTTTTATGTACAACCGTTTTGTTTACCACCCTTGCTATTTCTGCGTTTTTTATTTCTTTTTTACTCGTTATGCGAGCACAAATGTTAAAAGTCAGAAAATAAAACATAGGGCGTTATAGTAATTAAAAAAACTCGATTATTTTTCTGTAAGTACTCCATAACTACTCGAAGTAATCAACTCGTATCGCGGTAACGATAATTTCCTTTGTTTTCCGCTTTACTCGGCAAACGCCTTCCTTGGACTTGGAAAAGTTGAGCTCGCCTGGAAAATATTATATAAATTATATTGCTTGGGTCGTTACAACTTCTTGCTCACTTTGCACTCTTACCAGCGTTAACTTTTACTTGCTCATTAATTTCTACGTGTTCACATGCTCACTTTGCGTCGCTTTGTGCTTCTTTGATTATTATTATTTTATTTTGTGTTTTTTTCTTTTTTTTGTTGTGTGAGTATACAGTAGAAATATATATGCTAATTACCGCACTCGGTGCTTTTGAGATTTCCGCGCGGCGATTAGATAAGAAGTGCGCAATGAGTTCGGGTGGAAGGCGTCGGGTAACACGTTTGAGATGCCGGAATGTGTGCGAGAATTTATTTCGTTTTGATAAAGTTTGCCAAACGAAAATATTTACGCGTTTTCTTTGCCGCCGGAGGTGACACGGCGAGCAAGAAGCAGGAAAACGGCAAACGAGGATGGTGGCAGAAGGGAGAAGGGAGGGTTGATTTAATTTGCAGGCGAATGTTTATTTCTTGTGATTTTCATCAAACATAATTTTTATTTTTATAGTGATAGTAAAAAATTTATTAGGTTATTACGAGTTATGAAAGCATTTTAACTGAAAGTATTTGATTTTTAGTTTTATTTGGGAAAACGATTTGTAATTCATTGAGTTTTATAGGAATCATAATTGTTTATGTATTTTTTATTAATTGAAAAGTATATGTTTTATAGAAATATTTTTTTTTGTATTTTTAAACAATGGAATAACTTTTAAAAAGGTTTTAAAAAGAGAAAAATTATTTTTTGTATTTTTAAAATCAGGTAACTTTAAACGCGATTTTAGGGGTTGGTTTAAAATTTTATAAAACATTTCTATATCAAATTTGAATAAATATGGTTTTATTTACACGTTTCTGCAAAAATAATTAGAAAATTTTAAAAACTGTAAAAAATACAGGATGTTTTGTAATAAAAAACAAGTTTTTAATTTTTGAACTTTTATACCCAATTTAAGGGTAGATTTTATTATCATATCAAAATTATTAGTATTGATTATCAAATAAAATTTTATTGACTACTTCCTGCAAGAAAAACATTAGATATTTATTAATAGCCATTAAAATTATAAAGCTTCAAACTAACTTTCAACTTTATTCCATCAAGAAAATAATTTACTTACTTTCAGAGTTGTTTTAATGGCAATAATAATTTTTATATATTTTTTCAATTAATGCATAATCATAGTAAATATTTCCAACTTTCTGATACAACAAAAACCTAATCGATTATTCAATTACTCCCTGAGTTACAGTAAAAAACATAAATCATTTAAACAATTGGCTAAAACTATATTTAAGGGTTGCTCAATAGCGCGCTGTTTTTGAAGGCTCATTGTAAATTTAATAGTTTTGGGTTCACTTGTCGACCGGAATCGATAAAACTGTCGACGCGTGCAAAATTAAACCTCCGCTTCCGCGTTTCCTCATTTCCTGATTTCCGCCCCTTTCGGTGTTGGCCCGTGCCCAAAGGGCCAGAAATTGACGCAATAATGAGGAATAATAGTGTTTCCGCTCCAATATGATAACAAAACAATTGCGCCATCAATTTAATAATATCATTACGTCAACTACCCCTTACACAAACATTACATTACCCCGCAGTAAAAATATTAGGGGTGAAAATTTTGATCCTAACAAAATTCTTTTCACCTTAATCTTAAAAAGCAACCACACGTCTTACGTGAATGATTTCACGGCGTGAAGCATAATAAAAGAAAATTGCATTATGGATTCGACTTTTTCACCGCCGCCGCCGGGGGCGGATAAAGCTTTTGGCAAATCTGATCTGTCCGACCGGAATTACATTCGGATTTGGATTTTCGTGATATTCAAATGTCGAAAAGGAGAAAAGTAGAGGAAGAGTATCAGACGATCATTTTTTAAGGGTTGGGGTTGGTGGTGGTAAGAGGGATGTAATCCTGATTTAAGTAATATTCCTTAATCGGCCGCATCCGTACGGCTTCGTTATTTTATATTACATTCAATACATTTCATAAAATAATTTTTTTTATTAAAAAAAAAAGAAAATATTTTAATAAATAATTAAAAACGTTCAGATTGTGCGTTGTATGTACATACATTGCGTGTTACCACCATCCCCCCAACCCTTAATGTTCTGCTGGCCGCATTGCAACCCTTGTCCTGTGTCCTAATGTCGTAATGCCCCTTCGCATGACATAAGCGGTCGAAAAATGTGTCACGCGTACAACACAATGCGGCAGGCGCCTGACTACAACCCTTATACAAGCATGTACGAGCTTTTAACGTGCTTACAACAAATAAAATAAAAATCTACATGGTGCCTGAAATACAAACGTTTTTATCTATAAAATAAACTCATAAATAATTATAGCAATTTTAACATATGCAACTTATTATACAAAACACGAGTATAAAAAGTTGCCTATGTTAGATGTCAATATAAATAAATTTTTTGATTTTGTTTGTTATTTCTTTAATAAACAAGCTTTCAAAGCTTTAGGCACGATTCTAAAGCTCACGGCTTACATGTAAGCTTTTGTTGGTGATATTTTCGTTATTTATTTTTTTCTCTGTGTGAATGGAAAGCTCGAAGCTTTGCGTCTTGGAAATTATGTTATACTCCGTGAATAAAAGCTCTTTAATACCCCGCTGATGATTGGTGTGTGGTGTTTGTGTTCGCAGTTGATCGTCGAAATAAATGGGCAAGTGGCGCTCTTCCGGGACCTGCTGATACACATCGGTCAGGCGAGGGACTGCCCGGAACTGCGCGAAAAGATCCGGAAGCTACGGCGGAGCTGCGTGGAGGCCTGCAAGCATACCAGCCAGCTGATATTGCCGCAATTACGCAGGTGAGTGCCGACCACAGCACGCTTACCGCCGCCCCTGAGGGCTAATCCGCGTTGGGCGCGTTGACGCCGCAATCCCGGAAGTCAACCTGCCACCAATTAACGTTTCATTATTGCACCCTGTGTTGATTTTCGACTAGAATTGAATTTTTAATATAAATATAAAAATAAAATTTGATATTTTAAGTTGGGTTAATGGTTCAGACGTGTATGGTTTTTATTGAAAATTTTACTGAAACATCCGGGAAAGGAAGAGGAAAAAAAGGAAATAAAATTGAAGATGTATATAGGAGTAGGCCGACGGATGTTAAAACGTGCGCGCGTGACGTTTCCGCTTGACAGGTAAAATGACGAAAATATTTTCGTTTTATTATTTTTTCTTTCATGTTGCTTAAACGATTTCTTTAAAAGGTGATGGGTGGGAAGAAGTTGTCTTTCTTTGGGGTGTTATAACTCAGTTATAAATATTACTTCAATTTGCCTTCTTCCATTTCCACTTTTTTCTTCTTTTCCTCTTTTTTCTTATTTATCCTTACCTGTTACCTTTATTTTTCAACTCTTTCCTTTTGCTTCCCTTTTGTCATTCGTATTTTTTCTTCTTCATTGCTTACTTGCTTTTTTTTTTTTTTTTTTTGCTGTTTTATTCTTTTTCCTTCTGTTTTCTACGTTTTTCTTTGTTTAGTGTTTTTTTAAATTTTTATTTGAATGACTAAAGTACTTTAGTCACGGGTTTTAGTCACGCTTTCTATTTTCGTCTATTTATCTTATTTTTCGGTTTCTTTTTCTTGATTCTCTTTTAATTTTATTCTTTTCTTCACTTTTTGCTTTTATTTTCCTTTTTATTTCCTTTTTATCAAAGTTATTGTTATCATTTTTTATTTTTAACTTCTTTCATTTTCTATTTATTTTTTCATCAATTTAATTTTTTATTTTCTCTTCCCCAATCTTCCTTTTCTTCTCCCCACAATATTTTCAATATCTCCTTTCTTCCTTTCCCTGTAATCTCCTTTGAGTCCCATACTCAATTATGCAGCTAATAATCTAATCCCGCTCCTGTTTCCTCCATTTCTATCTTTTCCACTCGAGAATCCTTGAACGTTATGACATTATTATATTCCCAGTAATTCCCCAGCCTGCAAATACCATCTACATCTGCACCCAGCAACAGCAAGCGTTTAATTACTTAAATTTTTCAAATCACTCCCCAATGCGATTTTTACGATTTTCATTTGCATTCTCCGCGCCATTGTGAGATCGCAAATAATTACATAAGAAGCTCGTATTCTGCGTCCAACTCAAACACGCCAATCCAAGACACAATTCACGCGTTTTATTATTAAGTAGCAAGCCCGGTCGTAAAACGAACGGCAATGAACGCGAAAATGCGAAAAACGCCAAAGGAAGTTTGTTCGCCGACTCGTCGCAAATTCGATGATTTATTCTTTGTATTAATGCGGTGTATTTAAATTGCCATCAAATTTGGGTCACGCTTTTATTTATTTTCCTTTATTTCCATCCGCCTAAATGGTGCTGGTGGTTTTTAATCAACTCGAATGCATATTTAAAACGCGATATGAATTTTTAACGATTCTCGCCAAGCGAAATTATGTTTGTATGTTAATAATAATAATAACATTTAACATACAGCCTGTTCACATAAAGAATAGCATATTAAGTATCAAGTGATTAATTGGAAACTTTAGTCACGAGTGTTCAATCAATCGAGTGTATAACATCGTTTAGTCACGTGAAGCATACGTTATTTTTTATAATTTCACTTTAGTTCCACTTTTAAGCTCCACCCCGTGACTAAAACCCGTGACTAAAGTACTTTAGTCACGGTATTAGTCGTCTGCAGTTAAAGTAACACTTTTTGTGTTAAAAAACCGTGGAGAAAGTAAAAAAAAAACTGATTTAAAACATCCATGCATATATAAATCGACATTAACTGTCCTTTCGTGTTTTTTTTTTCTTGTAAAGAACTATAAATAAAATCCATCAGTGACACAATACAACAAAAACCACCACGCTGGACTAACTCCATCAATAATGAAACATTATTCTTTTCACGTGGACACCGCACTCGCTTACAATTACAAACATAACCTCAACCTATATACAGATTCAATAATACCAACTTTACTAGTAGTAATAAAGACTATTCATTGATAGGCAACCCATTTAACACACATACACATACAATACACACACGTATTTAACTTTCACAACGTGTGTGTTGGGTTGCAGTCAATGTATATGCTAAGCAGTAATTGTGATTCGAAACAGTAGCGCCCGGCGCGAATGTGTACGTGGCAGGTTGTAAATCAAACATGGCTCGACAAACTTTACGGGTAACGAGTTGCGCGCGCCCCGACAACAAATTCACTGGGATATAATGCACATAAACGACACTCGCAGTCGCGCGCCCGAATAGGGTTGAACCCGGTGTGCGCCGCCACCCACAATACACCCGGCACTCACAACGCTCACGTCGTGTTGCCTAGCTTACTTTATATTATTAAGCGCGCAGCGACACACTGGCAAAAATGTACGCAGGGTGGTTTTTGGGGTTTGGGGCGCGGGTGTAAGTGCCTCGCTGGCTCGGTTTTAATTACGTTCTTGCATTATGATGCAAAATACTGAAATTACGTGGCTGAAAATGTATTCACACATTGTGAAAATAAAGAAAATTAAGAAAAAGAATTGTTTATAATAATAATTTTTATGGATGTGTGACTTGAAGTGTTTTGAAAATGTTTCTATGTCAAGTGGAAATAAACAATGAGAGGAAAGTTGTGTAAAACTTGAGTTGGCTGCGCGTCCTTGAGCGCCTGTCAGCTTCCTAATTAATTTACATACACGTCTGCAAACAGTGCGAAGGAGGGTGCTTCCTTTGCGGATGAGTGCTCGGGAGGACATCCTGCCATGTTTTGACAATTCTATTTTTGGAACAAAGAAAGAAAATTTTAACTAGGTATAATTTAGGTTTAACATTTAAGTGATATGTACTTTTGGGTAATGTTTGAGACAAGTTAGAAATTCAACAAGATTTTAAGCCATCTTAATCAAAAGTTTACTTCTTCTCCTTCTTCCCTTTTATTTTAAATTATTTTTATTGTTATTTTATACATGATTTTTCTTGCTTTCTTCTTTTTTTATCATTTTTTAATGTTTTTGTCATTTTTTTGTTGTTTTTTACTTTATTTCCACTTTTTTATTTATTTTTTTACTTTCACCTATAAAGAATTAGTTTGCTCATGGTTTTAAGACACGAAAAGTGGTATTTTAGACACGGACAGCCAAAAACATGACTAAAGTACTTTAGCCACGGGTTTTAGACACGGGGCGGAGCTTACGCCTGCGCATTTGTTTTTTCCTATTTTTTTCTTCAATATTTTCGTTCTTTATAATATTCTTTTCATATTTTTGACTTATTTTTCTCTTTTTATTAATTTTTTCTCGTTTTTTTGTTTGTTTTTCCTTTTCTTCATATTTTTTCATATTTTCTACTTAATTTTTCTTTATTTTTTCAACATGTTATCCCCTTTCATTACACTCTTATCCCTCTGCATTTTCATCTAACTTTAAATCATTATAATTTTTTATTTTCCTCTCAACCTTTCTTCAATATTTCTTCTTATTTCCGTTATTATCATCTTTTTGTTTATTTTTTCCTCTCTTTCATATAAAATATCCACATATTATTTATCTCCCACTCATATCTACATTTATATCCGAAAGTATCCTCATGTAGATGTATATCTGTATTTTCATTTTCGGATATTGTCTGTTATGTTAGAGTACGCGCGAAAGTTTAAGCTTTATGTATCCACGCGACCTCGTAACATTCAAAAGCACTCTTGTCGGTTTTCCCTCATCTCTTGCACTTAAACTTGCCTGGCTTTTCAAACTTCATCTACAAACCATCGCCTCGCATCAACATTCCGCCAAACAAAATCCCATTTTTTATTTATACACTTCCTCATAATAACCCCGACGATATTCATTAGTGATAATGAAGCATGAAATAAAAGACACTAGCAATCTGAAAAGAAAAGCGGATGATGAGGGAGTTAAGTCTGCGCAGATGTAAAGAGACAGTTAGAGGCTGTTAGGAGGCTCCGCCGAGAGGAAGTGTCATTTATATCAATCTGTGCGTGGGGCGTCAAAGTGCTTTATCGCATCGCCCGTATCTCACTTCCTGCTTTCCATCCATGTGTATGTGTTTTTCCGGCTTGCGCCAAGCACGGAACTTGTTTCTAATGTATAGTGAGCACGTAATCGCGTCATCCCGTGTAATCCGCGTAACAAATCCGGTTTAAAAATTGCGCGAAAAAACGCCAAACACAAAATGTTTTAAAACGCAAATCTTGTTTGCTTTTGCCCGCAGCTCCGTCGCCGAAGGCATCCCCGAGGACAACCCGCATCTAGTGCTTCTGTTCTTCATGTCGCAGCTCTTCCTTCGCGAACTCACCAAGTGCCATCGTCTAGTTCAAATTATTCCCATGGACATGTCCGGATACTACGGTAAATTACCAAAAATAACCACAAACCGTGTCAGGCATAATGAATTCACATATTGCGTGCGGATAAATACACACAACCCGAAAAACATTATGACAGGTTAGGTACAAGTTGGAAAGTGAGGTTAGGTGGAGTGTGATCATCGCAAATGACCACGCGATGAATTATTCAACGCTGAAAGTGCAGCATTAAGTCCTCATGAATTGTTAATGTTAGAAGGGTTGCAGGCAAACAGGACCGTGTTAAACAGGAGAGAAAAAAGTTGCCTAATATTATTGTCGGTTGGAAGCTGGCGATAGCGTTGAACTGTCACATTATCAGCAGCTTATTCAATTCAACAGGATAATTACCTGATATATCTATGGTTTGCTTGTTTACGCAGTGGTAGAGCCAATTTTGTGGACCAGGGACAAAGCGCTGAGTCTACATTTGAATTTATAAACAGTCGGGCACTAATTGTATTGATTAGAGGTGAACTCAGGTGGAAGGTGGACTAACATCATCATCATCATCATCATCATTATTGTCTCCATTTAGATAGTCGGAATGTATTAAATGTAACAATGGAGGGAATTTCTGTCTTCTGTCATTTGTTCCGCTTCAGCCTGCGCTAATAACCACTCACTTTTCTACGTTTTAATTGGATGGCTTTGTTCCATATACTATGCCTGAAGGCATTCAATCTTCATCTTAAGACTTCATCTTGAGTCTGGTGTACAAGTCAATCATCATCAACCTAATTTCAAGTTGTAGAGCAAAAATGAGGTTATGTGAGTTGATTGTGAATTACAGGAATCTGGATTGTTTTGTTGAGATACTTGTGGAGGGAATCTTTTTTTGTGTAAAAAGGTCTTGTAAACGGATTACCATGTTATGTTTTGTTTTCAACATCCTGCCATTTGTCGTTTGCGCTTTGATGTGCAATTTTCATTTCAGTCCAACTTTGATAAACTCGTTTCCAACTTGCATCCAATGTCCGCGGCGAGCCGAGGACAATCATGAGAAATGCTAGAAATGTCATTACGGGCTTTCGTGCTTTAATAAAAACAGAGATGGATTTGAAGGATAACAAGATTTGGTTGACGTTTTCATTCGTTTTTATCTTTTATCTTTTATCGTGTTTATCACAAAATGAGAAAAATATCTTCACAAAATGAAAAAAAAACATAACAACTAACGCCATCTATGTTTATTTAATTTAACAATGTGTTTATGTATAGAAAACCGTGCGGGCCCATCGAATTTAGGCAACGTCATCAGCCAAATCCTGCTCTGTAAGCAGATCACGCCCGACTTCAATCAGGAGGAGCTGTGCAGCATTTCGAAGGACTCGGCGGAAATATCCAAGATCCTCAAAGAGATGCAGGAGTACATGCCGAAGCAGGAAAACAATTTAGGTGAGTGTGGAGTGTGTCGAGTGCGATTAATCATGCTCGCAAGCTCCGCCCCCAACCAAACATCATACATGTTCCTAACCTCACAATCACAATCGTACATAACCACAACCGCCAGCTGACAAAAACATTCGCTAACGGATAAATATAAATCACAAAATCATTAAGTCATGAAATTGCAAAACGCGAATGCTGCGGCCGAAGCGAAACGCATTACAAAACGATTTTCGCGGATGTGTTGCGCATGAAAAACATGTCGGAGCCATAATGGCTTGCGAAAACGAGTTGGACTCGTGTTTGCAGAGAGCGAGTACATTATCGACTGCGGAGGGAAATTAGTTTAAATTGCAAAGTGCGGCTTATCGTCGTCCTCGCGCGAGCGCTAATGACCGCGTGTTGCGAGAGTCGAAAGATGCGTGCGAGATTATCGCTACTTTGCGCGGGTGTTTGCCATTATCGGGGTTAGCTTAGTATACGATCGTGGAACTTAAATTTTACAAGCAAATGCCGCAGTAGAATAAATTACATTCACATAGTTAGCGTAAAAGTAAGGTTAAGTTAAATAATATTTCAGTTATTTATTCATAGATGTCGCTAGTAAATTAAGTCAATCATAAAATATAATTTTGTGATTCCCTCGATTGTCTAAACTCCTCTGGGTGTAATCTTGCTTGCCCAAAACGATAAACGTTGATGTGAACCTCTCCGCGTCATTTACTTTGACTGTAGGCAACCAGTAATACACGCGCAATTTGCCTCTGACGTTCCGGACATTTTGGTGCAACAACGCGTTCAGTCCGTGGGGAAAAGTTTAACGGCATTGACGTGACGTAGACTAACAAGTCCTTATGTTAGTGGCATAATTAGTTCGGAACAATTACCAAACCAAATTTCCAGCCATCATCTATTTTTAGGTTATTACTTGAAGTTTAACCTAAACTAACGGTTTCAGAACGAGGTGGAGCGTTGGTGGATGACGTACCAAGCCAGTGGACCAATAAACATCGAAGGACCTCGCTGTACAAAAACATGGGACTGTTGTGCTGCGTGCGCAGGCCGAACTATCTGTGACTGTGTCCGAAAACAAAACGAAATCGAAATCGACATCATCTCATCACAATTATTCAACAGCGAGAAGAGTGAAGTATAAAAAATTAAAATAAAAAAGAATGGACATTTTCATCGGGCGACAAGATGGCGGATTGTATGATATTAGTTTGTACAGAGTTCTGTATTACCGACATGTGGATAAATACGTCAATTCATCATGCAACATCACATCTGTACACCAACATCACGCGCCATCTTGAATTAAGCTACAAAAATAGGTTATTAGTTAGATGAATGAAGAAAAAAAACACGTGGTACTTGGATCAATAAATTAAGCGTAACGTTATTACAATAAAAATAAAATACAAAAATATATTATATATGAATAAATTACAATAAGAAAAGAATTATAATTATATCACGTACACATTGATATTACAATTACAATGTGAGAAATGAGATTTGATGAATTATAAAAATATTCTGCAAATATTGTAACATAGCCTAGAGAAGGATAGTTTTTAGGTAGATAGGCAGAGCCGTATCAGAACAAAAAATAAATTCGTGTATTTTCTATAATTATAATACATACTACTCGTAATTATTATTATCATTAGGCACTAATAATATTCTGCATAGTTTGCAAGTTTGCAGTGAAATTTAAGGTTGAATAAAATGAAACACAAGCAAAAATAAAGATTAATAATATTCACAGTCAATATTATAATACACGTTGCGTCGTGAGTCGTTAGTCGCGAGTAGAGCTACACCTAAGTGCACACATTGTTTTATTTATAGACACATGAACACTTGGTATGTTTATTTATGAGTTATGCGGTGGATTGTATTGCAAGTGCGAGATTTTAATATTTAAACAGATTTTAATGATTGTTTTCGGAATTTTAGTAAAATAATTGGTTACAAATTTAATGAGGTTAATTGTTTATTAATTATTAATTAATTTGATACCAAAATTTTCATAATTTTTGGGTAATATTTGAATGAAAGTGACTAAAGTACTTTAGTCACGAGTTTTAGTCACGGGGCGGGGCTTGCGCCTGCGCATTTGCTTACGGAGCAGCTCAATATTATTATTTTTATTATTATTTTGTATCAAATTAAATTATTTTTCGAAAAACTACGAAAAAAGAAAAATTTGCTTACTTTCCACAAATTTTAAGTTTTGAGCATTAAAACAACTATAAACAAATAATTAGTTAATATTCGTGATATAAATTGCTTGTTTAGTAAATAATCAGTAAAATATTAACAAAAAAGTAATTTTTATTTGTTTAGATCATTATTCTGCACTTGTAATACAATTCTCCGTCAAAAACGCAAATTAATTTATTCACAGCTTAAAATTTTAAACAAAAAAAAAATAATTAGAAAGAAAAAATTAAAGCAATAAAATTTTCCAATTGGAACAATAAAATAAGTGCGATATTTTCAAAAAAATAAATAAATTAAAGAAAATCTTTTCAATAATCTGATAAATCTTTAAATTAACGCTAATTATATCTACACTTGAACTTAACGCAAACAAACACACAAGATTGCACAGTTTGCACCAATTACGCTCGTAGTTAATGAATAAATCTAAATATTCCACGCCTATAACAACAATAAATACAATTTATTACTAGTTATTCAGTTACGAATGCAATTTGATTGATTTGCGTTAAATTGTTAAAATTGCTTCATAAAAGCTTGACTAATATATTGAAACAAATTTCTTACACAAGCATCAACTAAAAACCCACATAAATAAACATATTATATTTTTAATTGATGCTTGTGTAATGTTTATGAACTTACTTAAAAATAACGAAACCAGTGACCAAATTCTTGCGCCTTATTTCATATTCTCTAATTTATCTGTATCGAGCTAAGAAATGACAAGATGACAAACGAGATGAAATCAAAACCGAAACATTAAATACAAACGAATAATGTATTATTACATCGTTTAGCTCAAAAATCGTTCGTCTCACAAACACAAACATTATAATTCTACAAAAGAGAAATTAAAACAAAAAAAAAAACGATTCTAATCTAAAATACTCGAATTACAACCAATTAGCATTTACCAACTAAGTGTCTACTCAAATAATACACCAATTTTTGAACCAGAACAAAAACACGGTGAAGGTGGTGAATCAAGTAGGAATTTTAACATTTCGAGATTTCAGATTTCGAATGAGTCTTGTGAGTCTACACAAATTTATTACGTGACTTAAGTCGTGTTGTCTGAATGTTAGCGTTTTCGAAAAGAAGAAACAAACACGTACATAGTTTTTAATGATGATGGGAATCATCGTAGAAATTTATTTATACAAGAATAAGGACTAAGTATTATACAAAAAACAAGATGAAAACGTATATATTATACATATTAATATTATATTGCGAACAAACATGTGAGTATCGAGTAAGGAACAAATGAATACACACAAAATGATTATATTAACTCTAGAAACTGTGATATAGGTGGTTAAAACAACTCCGTCAATTTATAATTAAAATTTGTTGTGCGTTTTGTTGTGGATTTGTGAGTTTTTAGGCAATGGTGAAGAATAGCGGTCTAAAAATATGGAAAGTGGATATTGTTTAGTTTTTTATTGATAACTCAGAAAGTTATATTGATAGAATATTATGTTTTTCGTGGTTTATGAGGAGATAAATTTGGCTTATATTAATGTTAAAATTGAATAAATATTGCTATTTTATAAAAAGTTACAGGCTTATAAAGTTGATTTTAAATAAATTTTAAGAAATCAACTTTAATGGCTTGTAATTAATTAAATAAAATTATTTTTGGATGTAATTTGATATCGTTGAATTCAGAATTTATGTAGAAATGTAATCATGTAAAATTTAATGTGATTCCGTTGAAAGTTTTTGTTTAAATCAATGAAAACTGTCAAAAAACAGTTTTTAGACCGTTATTCTACACTTGCACAAATTAGAAATTAATAACCTTCTTATAAATTGTCTAAACTGTTGTAAAACTATTGTAAAACATTATTTATTTAAACAGTAAGTCTCTTCTTCCTTTCAAACAATAATAATATCAATTTTTAAATTTTAACAACACGAAATTGATGAAAAATGAGTTCTATCTTAACAATAAATTAAGACTTTTGTCTATTTATCCTGTCACTGTCACAGATACACTGTACTTCTTATAAATAAAAAGATATAATCAAAATCTACAGCCATTCTAATTAATTTCAATGTTTAAATAACAATAAACTCTGAATTATAGGCAATTATCCTTAAAACAAGTATAACTCATGTGTATAATATGTTGCCTATAGTCAAACACTAATCCAAAGTATTAAATTACATTATGAGATTATTTTATTATGTATTACACAACTTTTCAAACTAATTGCAACAGAATACTTAGAATCATGTTTGTTTTGACAAACTGCTTTGATTTCTAAACATCTAATAAAGGATTCGCAAAGTTATAGAAGTTTACACGTGCATGTAAGGTTGCCTATAGTGTTACCTTACAATCTGAATAAATCACAAGTACTGAGTTTGATGTTTGTTTTTGTTTTGGTTTTATGTTTTATGTTTTATGTTACAGCGCAAGCAATTTAAACTTTCTTGTAAACTCGCGAACGTCAAGTTTTAAGAGAGAATTGAGAGTTTAGTCGCAGGTAAGACTTGCAAATAACAACAACCGGTGAGTGTTACGTTACGTTGTAAGAAACAACGCGCAAAAACAAAAAGTTTCAGTTTAATGCGATATAAATTACAAAATTAATAATAAAAGTACATAAAATTAACAATAAATAGTATAATTCTACTTCTGTAGTAGGTAAAACTTGTCTAGGTTTATATTATTTTATTTTTTGTTATTTTAGTTATAAATAAAGCAAAAAAATGATTTTTGTTATTTTTGTAATGTTTTTGATTATTTAAACAATGAAAAATACTAAAATATTGTAAATATTGTTATTAATAAATGTTTACAAGCAAAAACTGGCGTTTTATTGTATCCTGCTGCAACACAGAGACAAAAATTAACAGAACTCAAGAGAAAACTGTAACCAAAATGGCTGACAGTAGTTTTCGTCTGTTTTTAATTGGCTTGCTCAACGGCGCCGGCCATTAATTAGTCTACCTTAACTAATTTCGAACAGTTGCCGGCGCAGCATCGCTTCGATAGTGGTTTGCTTAATAGTCTTAACTTTACTTATTGCTTATTCAACATTATGAACTTATAGATTAATACACGAGCGCGCCGACGACTAAAACGGAACGCATACCTAAACCTAAATCCTAACCTAAACCCAAAGCTTTCGGTTTGGCCACAGTAGACTCTCTCGCACAGTTACATTTACAACTAGAACTGAATTTGTCGAGTCGAGTCTCGAGACCAGTCGTAAAGTTGTAGTTTATAGTAACAGCGCAAACGTGCCCGCCGATTGAAGGGTGTTGAAGGGGTGCCAAGGGGTGGTTGAGTGTGTTGCGCGGAGAATGAGAGCAAACTATATAACAATGTTGGCATTACGTTCCGGCTCAAGCGATCGGTAATGATTTGCAAATAATGCTCTGTATTTATGGACAATTTGAGCCGCTTGAGGCGGTCGGGGAAATAACGTATCAATTTAGGTTTGAGTTGAGAGTAAACAATTCTGATTCTATTTGCATAATTACTCAATTTGACTGATTAGGTTGTTGGGAAGTTGTTGGTAGCTATATTTTTTAAAGTGCGTAAAAGTAAGCTTTTTTGCAAATTTGAAATTATAGTTTAAAATACTTTGAAGATTTACGTTGCATTACTTTTATCATTTACTTTTTTGACCGTATTTGCAATTTTATTTAATAATTTGGATTTTATAAGCCAATAGGGCCTTAACAAAAAATTATGTTGATGATTACTGATTCAGAATTTAATTTACTGTCAGAATCCGAAAAAAAATTTAAAAGTTCTAATTATTACAAAACCTGCATTTGTTGAAACAAAAGATTTCGTCATAAAAAAAAAGGCAAAAGACTTCCTTTTATAATTGAAATTAAAAGATGAAATTGATAAACTAAATTTTTGAATTCCGATAGATAAATTCTACATAGATTATTGTAGTAATTATAGAAATAAATTAAAATATTACAATTGCCAACTTTCTGCGTTCCTAATACCACACACTGATTTTCAGCAGTTTCTCGACAAAATTTCGTGCACAAATTCAATGAAATTTCTACACAAAATACTTTTGAATATTAGGATCGCAGAAAGTGCAGTAGGCTGCCGAATAAATTTTTTACTTATTGCAACACCCAGTGGCGGCGTAATTTACTAACTCATAGACAGATGGCACTGGTGGTTTGAATTTATTAACGCTGAGACAGAACATAAACCAACTAGGCAAGGGGGAGGTCCATGCAGTCTCCAATCAAAATATTACCCACTCCGGATGTTGCTAGGATTGTTTATTGGTACGCTATTAAAAATAAAATATCTATATAATCTATATATATATATATATATACAAATATCCACTAGTATCAATTTAAAATCGATTATTTTTATATACTTACCATTTATGGGATTAACCTTCGCAAAATCTGCAAAAATGTCTTTTTTGTACTTCTCCGTCGGCTAATTTTCGGTGGGTTTTGTATTTTTTCAGACAAACGCGTTGTTGTAGAACAACTGTCCCTACACCAGATTGAAGGTATTTTAATTTTGCATAATATGCATTTATAATTTGAAAGATTGGCCTTTGAAAATCCCAAAAATTTCACTTTTTTGTTTTTCTGGATTGACAAATTTTTGTGGTTTTTAGTACTTTTCGGGCCAACGAGACGTCGTAGGACAAGCGTTCTATTACCAAATTAAAGATACTGCAATTCTGCGTAATATAAGTATATAATTTGTGGGATTAACCCTGGAAAAACCTATAAAAATGCACTTTTTTGTTTTTCTAGATTGGCGTATATTTGTGGTTTTTAGTATTTTTCGTGTGAACACGATGCCATAGAGAAACCATTCTATTACCAAATTAAAGGTATTAAATTTCTGCATAACATACGTATATAATTTGTGAGATTAACCCTTTGAAAGCCCATAAAACTGCCCTTTTAGTTTTTCTGGATCGGCTAATTTGTGTGTTTCTGGTGGTTTCCAGGCGAACGCGATGTCGTAGAGCAACCGTTCTATTACCAAATTAAAGCTATTGAAATTCTGCATAATACACGTGTATAATTTGTGAGATTAACCCTCGGAAAACCCACAAAACTGCCCTTTTAGTTTTTCTGGATC